TTTCTGCATGTGTGTGTGTGTGTGTGTGTGTGTGTGTGTTAACGGAGTTCTGGTCTTTCTGTACTTTGAAAGCAGCAGATGTCGTGTCAGAGAGACAGAGAGAGAGAGCCCAGACCTCCAAATTCACCAAACAGGACACACTTCACACACACCAATCTCTCAATATGCTGACAGAACAATGTGAGCGTTGTGTGTATCTGTATGTGTGAGGCTGTGTGTGTTTTGCATGTCAGTGGTTGGCCCTATTGTTGTGTATTTTTGGTTTCTGTGGAGATAATGTTGCTACAGGTGATATTTCATTTGAATTAACACACACGCTCTCTCTCTCTTTCTCTTTCTCTCTGTTTCTTTCTCTATCAGGAGTTTTATTTTCCAAAATTCCCTGGTAAAATAAAAAATAAAAATAAAATGGAAGAACTGAGATATATGTACTTGTATACATGGAGCAACATTAATAAAATGATAGAAACAGATTGAAAATCAGCTCAAACGTCTTGATTTTTGTGTTTTCATAAGTTCACAGCCTTAGTATTTCTGCCTAACACATTTGAATATATTTTAATGTTCATGACAGTTCAAACTAATTAAAACTTCAAAGCATGTATCTTGATGGGGAAAAAAGACTAGTCTAATTTTACCTGCAACAAATCCAAACTGTTATGTAAGCTGTCATTACACTGCAATACAGGCACAGAAGACACATTTGAAGCAGGATATAAACCAAAAGCAGTACATTTACACACTTTATAACATGGCACAGGGGAAGAAGAAATTTGTTTGCAGTTGCACAGGAATCACGATTGTGGGAAGAAATGTTGATATTAAAAAGAAATGCTAATATTCTTATACAACCACTAAATCTGATACTGTACAAACTACTAATAATTTAAATGAGTTCAACTAGAATCAAGCTACTCTTTTGCAAGCTATTGGGAAGGACTGGATTCTAATATTATATATCAAATAAAAATATATATCATTTGTATTGATAATTTCCTACTTTAAACATTAATTTAATGTTACATGCAATCTATGTGCATTAAACAATTAGCATAAATGCACTTAGTCAGCAAATTTTTGGCAGGCCATTTACACAACACTGTTTTCAACTAAAAATTGAAAACTTTTAATGCACTTTGGCCATTCATTTACATGACAACAGCATTCTGGGGGCCTGAAAACTAACTTTTGAAAACAGGTTTCATAGTGCAAGTTTTTGAAAACAATACCATTGTCGTCTACGTGTAAACTGCAACATATTTACAACATATTATATATACAACCTGAATTTGCATAATACAGCATTTTTTGTTATTTTCGTGGATCTGTGTGAATGGGGATGGTATTGAAGGAAAAATGTATCTAGTTTTTAGTTCATTGTTGTCTAGTAAACATACCCCCAGTCATTTCAATAGGAATCCACCTGATCTGGAATTTCGCATTAGGGCAAAAGATTTCCCCTTGTTTTGAAAATCATGTCTGAGCTATACTTAATACATTGCTAATTGACCTTTTTGCGTAGAAATATCGCACCAAAGACCCAAAGTAACCATAGCAACAACTTGAGCGCTAACAAAAAATTGAGCCATTGCAAAAAGCTTGATTGACAGGCGATCTGACCAACCATAATGCCACAATCCGTCATTTTAGCCAACAAACATATCAGACAGGAGAGTAGATTAACTTCAGTGGACTTAAACTTGAAAAATGGTGTGTATTGATGTCTTTCCGCGGTTCGAAATTAAATACGTTCTGATGTTCATTCATGTTCATTTTGTGCTTTAAGTAAATATGAAAAGACGATTGGTTCATGTGCCGCTTGAACTGACACAACACATCTTTGTCAGGACACATTGAAGAGCCACAAAACGGTATTTATTGTTTGAATTTCTTAAAAGAATGACAGATTTTAAAGCTGAGATCATGTTTCATACCAAAAGTAACCAAGACAGTACTTCTGGTATGAAACAAAAGTCTGGGAACATAACAGCTCTGAATAACCGACGAGCTCATCAGTGTCATCCCTATGACACACTTAATTTTGCTGGGTTGACGTTATCTTTCACGCTTGTAGAATCAAAAGTATTTTTCTTCATACAATTTTGAGGTGATATTTGTGTTTTATCACAGTTTAATCATAATGAATTCTCCTGATGGACACTCATGGCATTTGTTATTAGTTTATCCATAAATTTTTAGTTCGCTACATTATTAGTTTATCCATACCCGTCTTGGATGGTTTTGATTAAAAAAAATAAACGGACAGTTTATTAGCCACATTTTTTTAGAGAATTTTATAATACTGAAGCTAAATATAAATTTGAGGTTATTTGTTTAAATATTTCAGGTCTTCTCTCCTTTTATCTCCCTTTATCTCTCTCTCGCTCTCTGTGTCTTGTGTCTGGGTTGACTGGGTTCATGTATGACTGCCTTTGGGCCTTAGTAACGGTCGCCAAGCCTCTGATCCCATAGCAACCGGTCACTTGGTTTTGTAAGGCACAAGGAGAGGAGAGGACACACACACACTTAACACACATATCAAACCAAATGTAACACTCCTACAGTTCTGACGGATGCACTGACTATGGCCTACACAGTTCTCTATCTGTTCCCTACAGTTTAAAGAATAATGAGCTATGCAAATCCAAACCTAAATCTAAACCACAGCTCTGTTTCTAAGACCAGATTTAAGTTCCAGTGGGAAACTATCAGAGAAAATACAGACCGATCAGAACCTGGGAGCGATATCTGTGAAAGAAAGCTTATATTTTCATCACTTCCACACATAACATACATGAATGAAATGGGCGCCAACATCAGCATTAACACCTGATTGGATATGGAGGTAACCATGGATACCGATCTTGCCTAGCAACAAGATCGAATGCATACGTTGTAAACCCCGCCTACCTGATAGAACGCACATACCTGCACACTCACACTCACATACCTGCACATGCTCACACACACAGTCTCTCATTTGTCACTATCCACCCACCTCTTGTTTTTTTCTTCCTGTTTACGCCCCCAAGCTCCCCCCAGCCCGAATCAGCAGGGTCCCTGGAGGGAAAATTGCCGCCTGTCATTGGCTGACTGCATCTCCATGGTGACGCAGCTGCAGCTGTGCTCGTGCAAGCAGCAGAGAAACACAGTGTGTATAAATCTCATTCCAGCCTATAATGGTGTCAGATAAATTGAGATGAGAGTTCACTCCAGTCACCTGTGCAGGTGTGTTTAGTTATGCTAAAAATAGACCGCAGCATATATTATGCCCACTCTACAGAATGTCAGCTCAATTCTAGATTCAGGCTCAAACTAAAAGCTCCTGAGGGCTGCATCCTAAAGAAAATATGTTTCAGTTTGTTTGGCGGTTACCCCTTCATAGCTCAGCAGACTTTAAGGGGTCATATGATGCAATTTCAAGTTTTCCTTTCTCTTTGGAGTGTTACAAGCTGTTCGTGCATAGATAAGAATCCTAAAGTTACTAAAGTCTCAAACCCAAAGAGATATTCGTTATAAAAGTTAAGACTCATCCACGTCCTCCTAAAATGGCTCGTTTAAACACGCCCCTACATGTCTACGTCACTGTGTGGGAAGATTTGCATAACGCCACCCAAATGTTCACGCAAAGAAAGAAGGCGTAACTGTGATTCTCGCTGTAGTATTGTTGCTGCCGCCGCCATGTCGTGAAGAGGCTGTGCGTTTTGTTGTGAAAGCAAAACTACTTTATTTGGTCTTCCAAAAGAGGACACGACTAGAAATCAGTGGTTAAGTTGTATTTATAACACTGTTCCAGAACAGTTCAACCCAAATATTTGTGTGTGTGCTACACATTTTAAGGATGTGTAACTGTTTCCTGATCCTGGAAGAGTAGCCTACAATGCCGTCTGTGCTCAAAGACTGTTTCTATAAAGTGGGGCAATTCCAACTTTGCAAGGACAGTCTGGTGCTTTTGACTCACAGCCTGTAAGTACGTTTTCATATTTAAAGAATTTGCCACTGATGATTCAAACGCGAGTTTTGAGCAGTGTAGAGAAGGCTTGTTGTTTGTCGTTTCTCTGATCACAAATGCAGACATGGCTTTATGTTTACGCGGCACGATACGCAAAGCAATGCGTACAAAGACAGTATAAGTCATTATAATCAGTAATTATGTCCCCACTGGATGCAACAAATGCCTCCTTTGTAATGGGTTTTATTGATTTTGTCTCATCACGCCGGGACACAACATCACAGTATGGTAAGGGGCGTAATGTGTGATTTCCGTCACACGCTTGAGGTATTAGCTGGCCAATCAGAGCACACCTCGCTTTTCAGAACGATGAGCTTTGTAAAAATCAGAAGCTTTGTTTCAGAAAGGCATTATTGGAAAACATTATGTACAGTATGTGGAAAATAATGTGCTTTTTGAACCTTAAACCGCATAAACCCATTGCATTACACAAAATACACAAAATAATGTTTTTTTTAGCAACGTCATATGACCCCTTTAAAGAGTTAAAGGAAAATTACAGGTTAAGTTAAGCTCTTGAGGTGGTTTGTAATTACCACAAAATAAAAACTAAAAAAGCACAAATCTGGGTTACAGTGAGGCATTCACTTACAATGAAGGTAAATAGGGCCAATCTGTATCAAAATATGTAAACCATGTGTGTTAACCCCCTGGTGCTACTCATGCGTCAGTCAAAATTTACTTTTTTCCCAATTGAAATAAATGTACTATTTTTTTCTTTTTTTTTTTAGGGGATTTTACTAAATTATATTTATGGTATAGTTATGACACATTTATTA